CCCTACAAAAGGAGCATACTTGTTTGTGTGCACACGTGTGTTTTTCTTTCTCATCTTCTGGCCCACACTGATAGTAGTTGGGCTTGACCAGTTGGACCTGATTTTTACCTACCTTTCACCTACTTGGAGTTTACTCCCTCTCTGGCACTACTGGTTGTCTCTTCATTTTTGCTTTCATGTCTAGGCGCCAAGTTTCTAGAACTAGAAGTGGTGACACAATTGTAAACAGTCTGCTTGGCTCATATATTAACTTTGAGTTTTAGCCAATCTTTTGACTTTTGTGAGTTGTAGACTATCTATCATGCTCAGATGTCAGTCTTCTCAAGACCACACTTGCTCGCGGTGTGGTCCCTGTGTTCGACTGTGTGGACTAAAGAACATTTCGGAGCCACGTATAAGGAGATTTGGTTACCTGCCTATAGAGAACCCTTTTCTTTTATTGAAGATTTATTTTTTAAATCTTATTTCTTTTATAAGGGGGGAGAGAGATACCAGGGTCTTGACCCCATAAGCCACTCTTCATTTCAGCCAGTTCAGCATTATGGGCACATGTCTCTGGATGTGAACCTGAAAACCTTCTCATATGAGTCAATTTCAGTGTCATGTTTTACTCTGAACCACTGTTTGTCCCCTAGAACTATATTTTAAAATAACTTATCCAAGGTTGCTGTCTGGTAATGACCTTCAAGTTTGTATTACAGTGAGAGTGCATTAAAAAAACAAACAAACTAAAAAAACAAAACTTGTCAGGCATGAAGGTGTCTTTTTAAGTTTTTTTTTTTTTTTTTTTTTTTAAATAGCATTTAGAGGCATCTTCGTGAGACAGCTTTCATAACAGCAATTGAAATCAATAGATGTGTTGCCCGAGGAAGTATTGCATGGAGGCTATGTTTGAAAAGAAGAATTTTTCACAAGAATTGGAGCAAGACATAAATTCATTGTTATTTAGGTAGTTGTTGAGTCTCATTTGGGGGCTCTTGGAGAATTTGACTGTTTCCTTAATTATCTAATGTGTAAACTAAATCTTCTGAAGGCATTCTAATTGGTAAAAATCAATTTGCAAGCCACTTCAGTTATTTCACAATATTCTTTCTCCCTTCCATCTTCAGGGAATACTCAATTGTATCTTAGCATCCCTTTATAGTATTTGACCTCAATGGCCTGTGAAAAGATTTTGAACTGATGATGACAAGTGATTTCCACATATTATTGCGTTGTTGGGAAAGTCATGACACATTTTTGCATAGAAAATCATGTTAGACTTTCCCAACAACCTAATAGTGTATAGAACTATTGATATAATACTTATTTTTTTAATATGAGAAAATCATGTGATTTGTGCACAAAAGTTGGTCTAGACTTTGAGATAACTTGTTGAAGGTATGAATAAGGTATGCCTTTAACAGTGGGATCAAAATTCCATTTCACTTAAATACTCTGTAGGTAAAAATTATTTGTGCTCTGTGTCTCTTTTTTGTGCTCTAGGCGGCAGGAGCAATTCGACCTCTTGTATCTACTGTCATCAGTCCATCTGCTGATGGTAGCTTAGACCACTCGCTAGACCGTGCCAAACACAGAGCAAGTGAAATGCCACAGGCTTTTCTGTTTGATGTGATCTATGAAGCTTATCAGCAGGTAAGAATCCTGAGTTTTTAAAAAATACATGATTATGTTGGGGGTTTCTTAAGCTATCTCCACTATTGGAGAATTTTTGGAACTTAGGGGACTCAACATGTAGTTGTACTCAAGGCCAAGACTGTAGTGAAGTAGTAAGGGTATGCAGCTGGATCAGAGAAGACACAGTGACTAGAATGATTGATTCACAAGCTTCCTTGCACTGTCCCTCCCCTGAAGCGTCACACGGAGCACACACTCATCTAGCAATAACAATGCAACACATGTGTGATGTTTCTCCCCAGGGAAGCCCATAGACTCAGCACTCAAAGTATTTATTGGGAGTGATCACATTACACATCCTGTGCCTGGCACATACAAAAATTCTAGATCCTATAAGGAAAGGATTTCAGCCTAAACCATATTGTTGATGCAGATAGTCCATGCACAGTGAACTACCCTTACAAGTCAACTCCCAGATGCTGGCTGAGAGCCTACCTTGGAACCTTTCTAAGTACAACAGTCTTGAGCACGACATGGTACATTTTCTGCATAGCTGCTTAGACATTTTGTTAAAATTTTAGCCAATGATAAGTAACTTCTTTTAAAGTATCATATAACTCATTCTTGTTGGGTTACCTTGGTATTTTCATGTTTTGAAAACACTTCTGAATTTATATAATTTTATGTCATTTATTTGCATGTTTGAGTAAACAGTTATTGACTATCTGGTGTTGAGCTTTTCAGAAACTTTTTAATGAAATACAACTTGGAGCAACTAATCCAATGGTTGGCTGATAATAGACAATCACTAAATAGTTCGAAATAGATGGCCTTTTATGATTATAGGATAATGGTAAAATCAATATTCACATTTATATTAGAAGAATGTAATGGGACTGTAGGTAGTGTGGAGGTTAAGGAAGCTGGATCATGCCTGGCTAACTTCAAGTCGATTTCCGGATTCAGTAGCTTGAAAAATCACAGCGAGTGCATATGTGTACATGTCCAAAGTCCCAGGGGAAGAACGGAGGAGAAGGAATTGTGGCATGGCCATCCGTGGCCACTGGGGAATGATTTCTTTCTCTCTGTGTCTTTCTGGTGAGCTTATGTACACTATAGAAAAACTTAAAAAAAAAAAAAAAGAGATATAATGGATATAATTTAGAAAGAAGGTAGTTAATTACATTTAATTATGATTCATTAATCTTGACTATCACTCATTTTAAAGTGTGATGATATAGATTAGAAATCCACTTTAATAATGGTAGTCTGCAGTTTATAATTTATTGAAAAATGAATTTGGAATGTATGAGTTTACCTTTTGGATTTGGTCATTAATCATATACATATTATACTATTGTAAATTTCTTTGAGATTTATATTTAAATATTTTATAGACTAAATTTTGATGAGCTCTATCATTTGTCACATTTGAGATGAAATAATTGGTTCAATTTTATATAACAAGTATATAATATGTATTATAATAAATTATACATAATACCTGTATTTTAGAAGAGTATGATTTTGTGAGCCTCACATTGGAGTAGCCTTTTCAGCAGCTCTTGCTGTATATTTTGACTATAGGACACAGTATAAGGTGTGTGAGGTTAGAGAAGAGTGAAACCTGGGGATTTGGGGAAGTTGTAGTTGGAGAGAATGTGACTTATTCTTCCTGAAGTCTTTATTTATTTATTTCACATTTAAAAAAATTAATTTACATGTAATCACACATATCTTCACAGTGTATAATATTGCATTTTCCAGCATCAATACCATGCATTTCAGTTAAGACAAAGACATTACTGTATACATTATCATCAGCAAATAGCTTTTCAGTTTTTTGTCAATTGAACATACTTTTTTCCTTCTCATCCCCTTTCCTCCCTCCCTCCCTCTCATACCAACCCCCACCCTTTTTAAATTTTATTATCTTTATTATTTAAATTTTTTTTAATTTTAAGAAAAGCAGTTTTAACTTTAATAAATCATAGAAATGCTAAGTACCTTTGCTTAAAACTTAAAGCCAGGAAACAGGTTAGGATTCTGTTCAAATAGTAGATACATGAGCCTATTGACAGCTCAAGACAGGAAAAAAAACCAAAAACAAAGCCTAAAAGAAAAGCAGCAATGTTTTAGTCAAAATCATAAAATATAATCTTCCCAGTTAAATTTTGGGATATAATATTCAACTCCAGACTTGTCCCTATTAAGTTGGCCATTTTCTTAGCTTTTGAACTCTTATTTCTGTGTGTCTGTATTTAGTTTTCCTGGTATAGCACTCCCTTGAGAACGTCTTGGAGATCTGGTCTGGTGTTGGTAAATTCTTTCAGGTTTTGTTTATCTGAGAATGTTCTTTTCTTCCTATATGAAGGATAATCTTGCCAGGTACAGTATTCTTGGTTGAAATTGCTTTTCCCTTAGCACTTTGAATATATTTTCCCATTCTTTCCTTGCTCACATTGTTTCTGATGAGAGGTCTGCTGTTAGCCTATGGAGATATCCTTTGTAGGTAACTTAATGTTTCTCACTTGCCAGTCTTAGTATCTTGTCTTTGTCTGTGGTTTTGGTCAATCTGGCTATAATATGTCTTGGAGAAGATCTTCTTGGATTGATTCTATTTGGGGTCCTTCGTATTTTTTGGGACTGGATCTTTGAGTGCCTTTCTAGGTTTGGAAAGTTTTCTTGCAGGATTTCATGGAATAGATTATCAATGGCCTTATGAGTCTCTTCACCTTCTGGGATACCAATTATCTAGATGTTCGGACATTTGATCATATCTAGTATTTCTTGTATATTATTTTTCTTTTTTTTTTTTGGTAATTTTTTTTAGTCTTCATGGTGGATTTTTCTAGGCCAGTGATTCTATCTCCTATGTCTGAGAGTCTATTTTCTGTATGACCTAGTGTGCTTTTAATACTTTCAGGGGAGGTTTTGACTTCCCGTATTATAGCCATCTCAAATAGGTCCATTTGATTCTTTTTATAGTGTGTATTTCCTCTTTTAGATCTGCATGAATTTTCTCACCTCCTGAAATTAATCTGCTCCTTTCTCTTGTCTCTTCTACAGTTCATTGTCTCTCTCCTCTTACATTCCTCTTACATCTTTGTTAGCTTAGTCATTATGAATATTCTAAATTCTTTATCAGACATTTCTATGATTTCCATTGAACTGTCTCTGGATGAAGAAGAGTTATTCTTTTCCCTTGGAGGAGAGGTATTTTCTTGCTTTCCCATATTTCTTGTGACCCTGTAGTGATTTCTAGTCATCTGATGAATGGTGAGTTTCTTCCAAATTCTTGAAGTTTAATCTGAGCATTCAGGAGCGTGCAGAAGAAGGTAATTTGGAATCTCTTTGGTATTCTGTTTTTATCCTTTGTGCAGCAGATTCAATGGGTATTGAGAAATATGTTAACCCTAATAGTATTTGAATGTTTGGCTATGGTTTCCTTAGCTCTGTCTAGGGACAGTGAATGGATATTAAGGAGCAGAGTGATGAGATAAAAGAAAAAGAAAAGGAAATGAAAGAGAGAGAGAGAGAGAGAGAGAGAGAGAGAGAGAGAGAGAGAGAGAAAAGAAACAGAGAAAAAGAAGGAAAAAAAACCCAAAATTTATTTTTTTAAAAGAAACAAAAATAGAGAACTGTGTGGCACATGCTAGTTCTCTTCTAGGAGTCTTCTTCTGAAGGTTGGCCCCTTGCCTCTCCTAGAGGGGAGGAAGAAAGGGGATTATTAGCAAGATAAAGGAGGGTCTGAAAGCCAAGAGTATACTTTACTTAAAAAAATTTTTAAAGGAAAAATTACAAAAAAAACTGAGAAGACAGAGACAGTGTCAGAGAGAGACAGACAGAGACAGAGAGAAGTCTAGAAGGGCTCCCTACCACTCGAGTTTGAGGGCTGGAGGCTGACTTATCAGTAGAAAATATTCATTTCTCTTCTTTCTCTGAAATCATTAGTTCTCAGGAGCCACAGAGAAGTCTTTTTCTGAAGGCCTGCCCCTTGCCTCCCCACTCGAGTTTGGGGGCTGGAGGCTGAATTCTCAGTAGAAAATCTTCATTTCTCTTTTTTCCCTGAAATCACTAGTTCTCAGGAGCATGGAGGAGTTTTCTTCTCTCCTGAAGCCTTTGATACTAGATGTATTTGCAAATATTTTTGTATAAAGTTGATTTGCAGTATTTGTATGGATATTAGAATTTGACTGAATCTGTATTTTTAGTGATTAATTAAAAATTCTGAGATTAATTAGTAGACAGTTTAAAGGGTTGCTGCAGTTATTTTTGCAGAATTTTTATTGAGCATGAAAATGCTATTGAGGGAACCAGCAGTTAGCGTAATGGCTATATCGCTGGACTCCCACGTAGTCGACCGCGGTTCGTGTCTCGGACCCGGTGGCTTAAATCTCACGCCGGACGCGTGTGCGTGCGTGCCCAAGATCCCGAGAGGAGAATGGAGGAGAAGGGATTGCGGCGTGACCATCCCCCCTGGGGGGGTGATTTCTCGCTTTCTGTCTCTATGTCTCTGTCTGTCTGGTGAGCGCACGCTCCCTATAGCGAAAACCTCTCCAAAAAAAAAAAAAAAATGCTATTGATAGTGTTACATCATTATAGTGTTATATTGTATAGAAAATATATTTTTCATCATTATGTCTGAATGTATGAGTGTGTGAATATGCAGATAAACTAGGAAGATTTGTTATATTGTGTAAACACTGAAATGTTGCAATTGATAATTTGAAAGTCAATTTGTAGGTGTAATCTTTAAGAGACATAAATATTTATTTGTTTCCAAATGGTCTTGGGTGGGTCCATGTTATCTAGGTATTTGTTTGTAGGTGTTGGGAAGGTGTTTTTTTTTTGTTTTGTTTTTTTTTTTTTTTTGAAGAAGTAAACCTGTCTTATACCCTGGGAATTCTTAATGACATGTTAAGAGGTTATTTAAGGAAAAGATTTTTAAAGAAAATAACAATGACCATTAAAAAGTAATGAACAGAAATTCAATAGTGGAAAATAGTCATCTCCAG